GCGTGTCTCGGCATCCTGAACCTCACCGGCAGGCCCCTCAACAGCTCGTTGTGCGAGCGCCTGTTCGGCAACGTGACGCTCGCCAACCGCACGCGGCCCGAGAGCGTCAGCGGCAGCGAGGAGTACTTCAAGTGAGAGGCCCCCTGGCGTGCCACTCGCCCGCTCGCCCGCCTGCTCGCCCGCACGCTCCCTCGCTCACCCGCTCGCTCACCCACGCGCTCGCTCGCCCGCTCGCTCACGTGCTCGCTCGCTCACCCACGCGCTCGCTCACCCGCTCGGTCACCCACGCGCTCGCTTACTCACCCACACACTCGCCCACGTGCTCGCTCGCCCACCCATGCGCTCACTCACCCGCTCGCCCACCCGCTCGCTCACCCGCTCGCTCACCCGCTCGCTCACCCGCTCGCTCACCCACGCGCTCACTCACCCGCTCGATTGCCAAACTCGCCCGCTCGCCCGCACGCTCCCTCGCTCACCCGCTCGGTCACCCACGCGCTCGCTTACTCACCCACGCACTCGCTCACCCACGCGCTCACTCATCCACGCGCTCACTCGCCCGCTCGCTCGCTCACTCACGCGCTCACTCACCCGCTCGTTTGCCAGCTCACCCGCTCGCTCGCTCACCCACGTGCTCACTCACCCTTTCGCTTGCCAGCTCGCCCGCTCGCCCGCGCGCTCCCTCGCTCACCCGCTCGCTCACCCACGCGCTCGCTTACTCACCCACACACTCGCCCACTCACCCGCTCGCCCACCCATGCGCTCACTCGCCCGCTCGCCCACCCGCTCACTCGCCCGCTCGCCCACCCGCTCACTCGCCCGCTCGCCCACCCGCTCGCCCACCCGCTCGCTCGCCCGCTCGCTCGCCCGCTCGCCCGCCCGCTCACTCGCCCGCTCGCCCGCCCGCTCACTCGCCCGCTCGCCCGGCCGCTCACTCGCCCGTTCGCCCGCTCACTCACCCGCTCGCCCACCCGCTCGCCCACCCGCTTGCCCACCCGCTCGCCCACCCGCTCACTCGCCCGAGTCTTGAGCCTCACCGAGTCTCAGGAGGCTGCTGCGAGATTCACGATGCGTGACCATGCAGTCCCCTCTCCAACGCCCCCGGTCTCCTACCCCCACCCTCTATCCCCCCCCCTCTATCCCCCCCCTCTATCCCCCCCCCCTATCTCCCCCCCCCCCCCCCCACCCCCTGCGCCAGGTTCTTTGTGCTGAAGATCTCGGAGGGCATCGACCGACCGGGCGAGATTCGCTGGCACCTGGCGCTGTGCCTGCTGCTCGCCTGGATCATCGTCTACCTCTGCCTGGTGCGCGGAATCAAGACCTCGGGCAAGGTGCGCCACCCAGCCACCCAGCCACCCAGCCACCCAGCCACCCAGCCACCCAGCCACCCAGCCACCCAGCCACCCAGCCACCCAGCTACTCAGCCACCCAGCCACCCAGCCACCCAGCCACCCAGCCACCCAGCCACCCAGCCACCCAGCCACCCAGCTACTCAGCTACTCAGCCACCCAGCCACCCAGCCACCCAGCCACCCAGCTACTCAGCTACTCAGCCAGCCAGCCACCCAGCCACCCAGCCACCCAGCCACCCAGCCACCCAGCCACCCAGCCACCCAGCCACCCAGCTACTCAGCCACCCAGCCACCCAGCCACCCAGCCACCCAGCCACCCAGCCACCCAGCTACTCAGCTACTCAGCCACCCAGCCACCCAGCCACCCAGCTACTCAGCTACTCAGCCAGCCAGCCACCAGCCACCCAGCCACCCAGCCACCCAGCCACCCAGCCACCCAGCCACCCAGCTACCCAGCTACACAGCCACCCAGCCACCCAGCCACCCAGCCACCCAGCCACTCAGCCACCCAGCCACCCAGCCACCCAGCCACCCAGCTACCCAGCTACTCAGCCACCCAGCCACCCAGCCACCCAGCCACCCAGCCACCCAGCCACCCAGCTACTCAGCTACTCAGCCACCCAGCCACCCAGCCACCCAGCCACCCAGCCACCCAGCCACCCAGCTACTCAGCTACTCAGCCACCCAGCCACCCAGCCACCCAGCCACCCAGCCACCCAGCTACTCAGCCACCCAGCCACTAAGCTACTCAGCCACCCAGCCACCCAGCCACCCAGCCACCCAGCCACCCAGCCACCCAGCTACTCAGCTACTCAGCCACCCAGCCACTAAGCTACTCAGCCACCCAGCCACCCAGCCACCCAGCCACCCAGCCACCCAGCTACTCAGCTACTCAGCCACCCAGCCACTAAGCTACTCAGCCACCCAGCCACCCAGCCACCCAGCCACCCAGCCACCCAGCCAGCCAGCCACCCAGCCACCCAGCCACCCAGCCAGCCAGCCACCCAGCTACCCAGCCACCCAGCCACCCAGCCACCCAGCCACCCAGCCACTCAGCTACTCAGCTACCCAGCCACCCAGCCACCCAGCCAGCCAGCCACCCAGCTACTCAGCCACCCAGCCACCCAGCCACTCAGCTACTCAGCTACCCAGCCACCCAGCCACCCAGCCACCCAGCCACCCAGCCACCCAGCCACCCAGCTACCCAGCTACTCAGCCACCCAGCCACCCAGCCACCCAGCCACCCAGCTACTCAGCCACCCAGCCACCCAGCCACTCAGCTACTCAGCTACCCAGCCACCCAGCCACCCAGCCACCCAGCCACTCAGCCACCCAGCCACCCAGCTACTCAACCACCCAGCCACCCAGCCACCCAGCCACTCAGCTACCCAGCCACCCAGCCACCCAGCCACTCAGCCACCCAGCCACCCAGCCACCCAGCCAGCCAGCCACCCAGCTACTCAGCCACCCAGCCACCCAGCCACTCAGCTACTCAGCTACCCAGCCACCCAGCCACCCAGCCACCCAGCCACCCAGCCACTCAGCCACCCAGCCACCCAGCTACTCAACCACCCAGCCACCCAGCCACCCAGCCACTCAGCTACCCAGCCACCCAGCCACCCAGCCACCCAGCTACTCAGCCACCCAGCCACCCAGCCACCCAGCCACCCAGCCACTCAGCCACCCAGCTACTCAGCTACTCAGCCACCCAGCTACTCAGCCACCCAGCTACTCAGCCACCCAGCCACCCAGCCACCCAGCCACTCAGCCACCCAGCCACTCAGCTACTCAGCTACCCAGCCACCCAGCCACCCAGCCACCCAGCCACCCAGCTACTCAGCCACCCAGCCACCCAGCCACCCAGCCACTTAGCTACCCAGCCACCCAGCCACCCAGCCACCCAGCTACTCAGCCACCCAGCTACCCAGCCACCCAGCCACTCAGCTACTCAGCCACCCAGCCACCCAGCCACTCAGCTACACAGCCACCCAGCTACCCAGCCACTCAGCCACCCAGCTACCCAGCCACTCAGCTACTCAGCCACTCAGCCACTCAACTACCCAGCCACTCAGCTACCCAGCCACCTAGCCACTCAGCTACTCAGCTACCCAGCTACTCAGCCACCCAGCCACTCAGCTACCCAGCCACCCAGCCACTCAGCTACCCAGCCACCCAGCCACCCAACCACTCAGCCACCCAGCCACCCAGCCACTCAGCCACCCAGCCACCCAGCTACTCAGCCACCCAGCCACCCAGCCACCCAGCTACTCAGCCACCCTGCCACCCAGCCACCCAGCCACTCAGCTAACCAGCCACCCAGCCACCCAGCCACTCAGCTACCCAGCCACCCAGCCACCCAACCACTCAGCCACCCAGCCACCCAGCCACTCAGCCACCCAGCCACCCAGCCACCCAGCTACTCAGCCACCCAGCCACCCAACCACTCAGCCACCCAGCCACCCAGCTATCCAGCCACCTAACCACTCAGCTACCCAGCCACTCAGCTACCCAGCCACCCAGCCACTCAGCTACCCAGCCACCCAGCCACCCAGCCACTCAGCTACCCAGCTACTCAGCTACCCAGCCACTCAGCTACCCAGCCACCCAGCCACTCAGCTACCCAGCTACTCAGCCACCCAGCAACTCAGCTACCCAGCCACCCAGCCACCCAGCCACTCAGCTACTCAGCTACCCAGCTACCCAGCCACTCAGCTACCCAGCCACCCAGCCACCCAGCCACTCAGCTACCCAGCCACCCAGCCACTCAGCTACTCAGCTACCCAGCCACTCAGCTACCCAGCCACCCAGCCACTCAGCTACTCAGCCACCCAGCTACCCAGCCACTCAGCTACTCTGCTACCCAGCTACCCAGCCACTCAGCTACCCAGCCATCTAGCCACTCAGCTACCCAGCCACCCAGCCACTCAGCCACCCAGCTACTCAGCTACTCAGCCACCCAGCCACCCAGCCACCCAGCCACCCAGCCACTCAGCTACCCAGCCACCCAGCCACCCAGCCACTCAGCTACTCAGCCACCCAGCCACCCAGCTACCCAGCTACTCAGCCACCCAGCCACTCAGCCACCCAGCTACTCAGCCACCCAGCCACCCAGCCACCCAGCCACCCAGCTACTCAGCCACTCAGCTACCCAGCCATCCTATTGCTTGTTCACCTTTAGGCGTCGTTCTCTGGTTTTACACGAGCGAGACAGTGAACGTCGAGCGAGTGAATGAGAGAATGTGAGTGAATGAGTGTGCGAGCGACTGGGTGAATGAGAGGGTGAGTGGATGAGTGTGCGAGCGACTGGGTGAATGAGAGGGTGCGTGAATGAGTGTGCGAGTGAGTGTGTGAATGAGAGGGTGAGTAAATGAGTGTGCGAGCGAGTGGGTGAATGAGACAGTGGGTGAATGAGAGGGTGCGTAAATGAGTGTGCGAGTGAGTGGATGAATGAGAGGGTGAGTGGATGAGCGATTCAGTGAGTGTGCGAGTTAATGAGAGGGTGAGTGAATGAGTGTGTGAGCGACTGAGTGATTAAAAGGATGAGTGAATGAGTGTGCAAGCGAGCGGGTGAATGAGAGGGTTGAGTGAATGAGTGTGTCAGCGACTGAGTGAATGAGAGGGTGAGTGGATGAGCGATTCACTGAGTGCGCGAATGAATGAGAGGGTGAGTGAATGAGTGTGCGAGCGAGCGGGTGAATGAGCGGGTGAATAAGAGGGTGAGTGGATGAGCGATTCAGTGAGTGCGTGAGTGAATGGGTGTGTGAGCGACTGAGTGAATGAAAGGGGGTGAGTGAATGAGTGTGCGAGCGATTGGGTGGACGCATGGGTGGACGAGCGAGCGGGTTGCGTTCGAGGGTTAAGGGCAAGTGTTGTGAAGCCTACACGGGGGATCTTTGCCTTTTTGGCGGTGGCTGCAGGTGGTGTATTTCACGGCTACCTTCCCGTACGTGGTGCTCGTGATTCTGCTGGTGAGAGGGGTCACCTTGCCCGGGGCATTCGATGGAATCCTCTACTTCATCAAGCCCAAGTGGGAGAAGCTCTTCGAAGCCACGGTCAGTTGAGCTCCTCCGGCAGCCGAGGCTGCGTTGGCTGGGTCATGTAGCCCGCATGCCCAGCCACCGCATGCCTAAACAGCTTTTGTTCGGCCGGATCGAGGGGGCTAAACGGGCGCGGCACGGGCTAGAGAAGAGATGGAGTGATGTGGTACAGGAGGACGTGGAGCTGAGTGGACTTGCCGATGACTGCTACCAGCGGTGTCAAGATCGGCCTCTATGGAGGAGGCTCGTGAAGGACCGCTACTGAGCAGTTGGAGGCAGTCGCCCTCCAACAACAACGGAGGGCGGAGGAGCGGCGCTCACAACATCGAGCGGAGTGCCGGGTGGTTAAAACGCAGCGAGTTGGCAAAGTTGGGGGCACAGGTGGTGCATCTTCCACTCAACTCAGTCAGTCAACCCATGGTCTGTCCCGTGACCTCCTGCAAACAGCGAACCTTCGACACTTCACGTGGCCTCAAGGTGTACTTAGCCTGGCACAAGCGCCGTGTCGGCATCACCACCACCACTTAGTGGTGAACGGCGGTTGTTGTTGTTGTTGCATTGCTATATGCGTGGGTGTGAGTGCGTGAGAGATTTGTCACTGATGTTAGCCGTGAGTGGGAATTGAACTCGGGTTGCTGGGGTTGTATTGCAGTGCCCTAACCACTACACTACCACTCCCCACTGCACTTGCCATTGCAAAGACAACGATCACCGCGGTTTAGCCCTAAGATACTCTCGGGGCAAGTGCTGTTAGCACCGATGAAGGTCAACATGTCACGCGTGGGGGTGGGTGGACAGCACCACGCCCGGCCGCCTTTGTCTCCCCAGTGCTGATATTTACACACGCCACCAGGTACGCATTTGAGGCTGAGTCGACCTAGGGGCAGGCCCAAGACCGGTTCAGATAATCGTCACTGGTGTTGGCCGTGAGCGGGAATCGAACCCGTGTCGTCGGGTTCATAGCGCAGCGTAGCGCTAACCGTCACACCACCGCTCCTCACTAGCACGCACATACACACACGTACACAAAGATCCCCCGTGTAGTCTTAACAGACTGTAGGGGCAAGTGCTGTTAGCGAGCAGCACCTATGAAGGCCGGAACGGTACATGAACGAGGGGGTGGGTGGCCAGCACCACGCTCGACCACCACACGTACACACACGCACGCACACGGACTCAGACACACACTCGCACACACCCCGGACACACAACAACAACAACCGTCATTCGCCACTAACTGGCGGTGACGTCACCGCGGCGCTTGTGCCAGGCTACGTGCACTTTGAGACCACTTGAAGTGTCAAACAAACACGCGCGCACACACACACACGCGCACACACGCACACACACACACGCGCACACACGCGCACACACACGCGCACACACACACGCGCACACACACGCACACACGCACACACGCACGCGCACACGCGCACACACACGCACACACACACACGCACACACACACGCGCACACGCGCACGCACACGCGCGCGCACACACACACGCACACACGCGCACACACACACGCGCACACACGCGCACACACGCACACGCACACACACGCACACACGCGCACACACACACGCACACACGCACACGCACACACGCACACACACACGCACACACGCACGCACACGCACACACGCACACACACACACGCACACACACGCACACACACACGCACACACACACATACGCGCACACACACACGCACACACACACAAAAACAAAGATCCCCCGTATAGCCTGAACAGACTGTAGGGGCAAGTGCTGTTAGCGAGCACCTATGAAGGCCGGAACGGTACACGAGGGGGTGGGTGGCCAGCACCACGCCCGACCGCCTTTGTCTCCCTAGTGGCGATGTTTACACACCGCACCAGGTACTCATTTAAGGCTGAGTCGACCTAGGGGAGGCCCAGGACCGGTTCAGATAATCGTCATTGGTGTTAGCCGTGAGCGGGAATCGAACCCGGTTCGCCAGGTTCATAGCGCAGTGCGCTAACCACTACACTACCGCTCCCCACACACACACGCACACACACACACACGCGCACACACACACACGCGCACACACACACACGCACACACACACACGCACACACACACACGCGCACACACACACACACGCACACAGACGCGCACACACACACACGCACACACACACACGCACACACACACGCACACACACACGCACACACACACGCACGCACACACATACACACACGCGCACACACACACACGCACACACACGCGCACACACACACACACGCACACACACACACACGCACACACACACGCACACACACACACACACACGCGCACACACACGCACACACACACGCACACACACACGCGCACACGCACACAAGCGCACACACACGCACACACACACGCACACACACGCGCACGCACACCTCACGTAGAATTCGCAGCGTGGCCATAAACCGCCGCCATTTCATCCGCTCCACTAAATGCAATTATCCGGGAAAATGTTATGCGATAAAACACGGAATAAAAGAGGGCATTTTACACCTCCACGCTCGCTCTGAAGCAGCCCAGGCAGGCCCCGGGATGATGAAGCTACCCCCTCCCCACCGAACGGAACGATAAGGCAGATGGGACCCAGCTGATTCACGAGGGGGAGGGGGGAGGGTTCATCGTGGATCTGTCGGGGACCCATAGGCAGGGTTTGACTCCAACCACCACTACACCCTCCCCCCCAAGGTCCGTTTTCCGGTGGCACGGAATTTTGAAAAAAAAATCTAAAATTTTGGCAGGTAAGGTCCACAACTGAGCTCTGTAAACTCTCGTTCATCGATGCCCAGTAGGTGCCTCCTTGTCAGAAAGTTACAACGACAAACAATACAGTTAAGAACATCGCTCAAAAGTAAATACGACTATTTTGTAATTTGCCAGCTAAGGACCTCTACTGAGCTATGTAGGGACCCCGGGTCAGAAAATTACATCGACAAAAACTCACTCAAAATAAGGAAATTAAAATAAATTTCGATTTGAAGCTTTCGTGACTGCAGGGATTCATCTTCTTGGTTCTTTCGGTAAAGTCACATAGAAGGGAAATAATAAAATATAATTATGTTTTATTTTTATTATTAAAACATATAATTATGTTTTATTTTTATTATTTTATTATTTCCCTTCTGCGTGACTTTACCGAAAGAACCAAGAAGATTAAACTAAACTCTTATTATTTTACCAGGTAAGGCCATCTGAGCTATAAAGCTCTATTTTAGAAGCGACCTGGCATCAAATGACAGTTAAACGGAGTGAATTATCATCACGTGAAAATTGTATAGCAGCCGAACGCTTTAAACGTGCGACGTTGATTCTAAACGTGGAGGGGAAAACCGGAGGACCCGGATAAAAATCCACACGACCAGAGAGAGAGAGAGAGAGACATCACAAACGCCAGGTGTTGGATGTTGTCTCTGTGTGTCCCAGGTGTGGAAGGACGCAGCCACTCAGATTTTCTTCTCGCTATCGGCTGCTTGGGGAGGACTTATCACCCTCTCCTCCTACAACAAGTTCCACAACAACTGCTACCGGTGAAACCACGCTCACTCACCCGATCACCCAATATCTCACCTGCTCGCTCACCCATTCACCCACTCATCCATTCATCGATTCACCTTTGTCAATCATCTACTCACCCGTCCATCCACTTACCTGCCTACTCAGCCACTCACCCACCCACCCATCTACCCAACCGCTCGCTCGCTCACCCACCCACGAACACACCCACCCACATACTACTGACCCACTCACCCACCCATCAATCCACCCACCCACCCACTCACTCACCCATCCTTCACCCACCCACCCATACAACCACTCGCTCACCCACCCACGAACACACCCACCCACCAAACTACTCACCCACTCACTCACCCATCCACCCACTCACCCACCCATCCACCCATCCATCCATCCACCCACCCACCCACTCACCCATCCACCCACTAACACACCCACCCCCCAAACTACTCACCCACTCACTCACCCATCAACCCACTCACCCATCCACCCACCCACCCATCCACCCACCCACTCACCCATCCACCCACCCACCCATTCACCCATCCACCCAACCGCTCGCTCACTCACCCACCCACCCACCAACACACCCACCCCTCAAAGTACTCACCCACGGTCCCTTACGTCGTGGCAAGCTTCGGGGCCACTTCCAGGAGTCGTGGAGTTCTTCCATTACTAGCACATTTCATAAAAGCGTGTTTAAAAAAAAAAAGTTTTTAAATATAACTTTTTGTCGTTTGTTTGCGCGCGACCGGGGCAGGGACACGCTGATCGTGACGTGCACCAACAGCGCCACGAGCATCTTCGCCGGCTTCGTCATCTTCTCCGTCATCGGCTTCATGGCGCACCTCCTCAAGGTGGACATCCAGCAGGTGGCGGACGAAGGTGGGCGACTCGGCCTTCACACGAACCCAGCGAGTGGCGAGCGAGTGGGCGAGCGCGCGAGCGAGTGGCTGCGTGAGTCAGTGAGTGGGTGGATGAGTCAGCGAGTGCGCGAGCGAGTGGCTGCGTGAGTCAGTGAGTGGCTGCGTGAGTCAGTGAGTGGGTGGGTGTGCGAGTGAGTGGGTGGGTGTGCGAGTGAGTGGGTGGGTGAGTCAGTGAGTGAGCGAGCGAGCGAGTGGCTGCATCAGTCAGTGAGTGGTGAGCGAGTGGCTGCGTGAGTCAGCGAGTGGGTGCATGAGTCAGCGAGTGGGTGAGCGAGTGCGCGAGCGAGTGGCTGCGTGAGTCAGTGAGTGGGTGCATGAGTCAGCGAGTGGGTGAGCGAATGCGCGAGCGAGTGGTTGCGTGAGTCAGTGGCTGCATGAGTCAGTGAGTGAGTGGATGAGTCAGTGCGCGAGCGAGTGGCTGCATGAGTCAGCCAGTGGGTGCATGAGTGAGTGAGTGGGTGGATGAGTCAGTGAGTGGCGAGCGAGTGGCTGCGTGAGTCAGCGAGTGCGCGAGCGAGTGAGTGCATGAGTCAGTGAGTGCATGAGTCAGTGAGTGCATGAGTCAGTGAGTGGCTGCATGAGTCAGTGAGTGCATGAGTCAGTGAGTGGCTGCATGAGTCAGCGAGTGGCTGCATGAGTCAGCGAGTGGCTGCATGAGTCAGTGAGTGGCTGCATGAGTCAGCGAGTGGTGAGCGAGTGGCTGCGTGCGTCAGTGAGTGAGTGCATGAGTCAGTGAGTGAGTGCATGAGTCAGTGAGTGAGTGCATGAGTCATTGAGTGGGTGCATGAGTCAGTGAGTGAGTGCATGAGTCAGTGAGTGGGTGCATGAGTCAGTGAGTGGGTGGATGAGTCAGTGAGTGAGTGAGTGGGTGAATGGATGAATGTATAGTGGATGGGTGAATGGGCGAGTGGACGAGCGAGTGAATGTGTGAGCACGCGAGTGAGTGGGTGTATGAGTCAGTGAGTGGGTGAGTGGGTGCATGAGTCAGCGAGTGGTGAGCGAGTGGCTGCATGAGTCAGTGAGTGAGTGCATGAGTCAGTGAGTGGGTGGATGGGTGAATGGATGTGTGGATGGGTGGATGAGCGAGTGAGCGAGTGGATGAGTGAGTGGGTGAATGAGTCAGTGAGTGGGTGAATGGATGGGAGGATGGGTGGATGAGCGAGTGGTCGAGTGGGCTAGCGAGTGAATGTGTGAGTGTGCAAGTGAGTAGGTGAGTGTGAGCGAGTGGGTGCATGAGTCAGTGAGTGCCTGAATGGATGGGCGGATGGGTGGATGGGCGGGTGGTCGAGCGAGTGAATGTGTGAGTGTGCGAGAGAGTGGGTGAGTGCGAGCGAGTGGGTGAATGAGTCAGTGAGTGAGTGCATGAGTCAAAGAGTGGGTGGATGAGCGAGTGAGCGAGTGGACGAGTGAGTGGGTGAATGAGTCAGTGAGTGGCTGAATGGATGTGTGGATGGGTGGATGAGCGATAGGACGAGCGAGTGAATGTGTGAGTGTGCCAGTGAGTGGATGGGTGTGCGAGCGAGTGGGTGAATGAGTCAGTGAGTGGTTGAGTGAATGGGTGAATGGATGTGTGGATGGGTGGATGAGCGAGTGGACGAGCGAATGAATGTGTGAGTGTGCGAGTGAGTGGATGGGTGTGCGAGCGAGTGGGTGAATGAGTCAGTGAGTGGTTGAGTGAGTGGGTGAATGGATGTGTGGATGGGTGTTTGAGCGAGTGGGCGAGCGAGTGAATGTGTGAGCGAGCGAGTGAGTGGGTGGGTGTGCGAGCGAGTGGGTGAATGAGTCAGTGAGTGGGTGAGCGTGTGGGTCAATGGATGCATGGATGGGTGGATGAGCGAGTGGGTGAGGGCGAGCGAGTGGGTGCATGGATGTGCGGACGAGTGGATGAGCGAGTCAGATGAGCTCATTGAAGGCTACACGGGGGATCTTTGTCTTTGTTTGCGTGTGTGTGGTGTGGCGTCAAACCGTGAACCTCCAGGGCCCGGCCTGGCCTTCGTGGTCTACCCCGAGGCCCTGACCCACCTGCCCATCTCCCCACTCTGGGCCATCCTCTTCTTCCTCATGCTCCTCACGCTGGGCCTCGACACCATGGTACGTGCCCGCTTCAGGCTGAGTCGACCTAGTGGTGACCCGCACCACCAGCAATGTTTAAAGCCGAGTCCACCTGTTGGTGGCTCGTGACTAGGTGGGGGGGGCATCAGTTTTGTTGGAGTCGACCTAGTGGTTGACCGACACCTAGGCATCACTTCAGGCTGAGTCGACCTAGGGGTGATCCATGCCTTGGGCAGTGTTTAGGCTGAACCGGCTCGAACGAACGCCCAACGTTGTCCACTCAAGCGCGGCGACCACCACAACACGTTCTTGCTACAACGGCACTTGCCCCGTGGAGTCTGTCAAGGCTGTATTGGGGGCAGAGGTCGCAAACGGGTTTTGATTCCTTACCCGTACCCGGCCGCACCAGGGTCGCAAACGGGTACCTGTACCCTACCCGATACCTGGCTACCCGTACCCGGCCGGGTATCGGGCAGGGTACGGGTACCCAATTGCGACCTCTGGGATGAAGCCATGTTGCAGGCGCGGGTGGGTTGATTCTAGGAACTTGAATTGTGAGAAAAGACAAGACGTTGGGAAATGAGTGACAAACGGTGACTCACCAGTGACTCACGGCCTTCTCACTCATTGGTTGGGGTGAGTCACGTGCGGCTACCCGTACCCGTACCCGGCCGCACCAGGGTCGCAAACGGGTACCCGTACCCGTACCCGGCCGGGTACGGGTAGCCGGGTATCGGGTAGGGTACGGGTATCGGGTACCCGATTGCGACCTCTGATTTCCTGTGTTTGTTTGACGCCCACCGTGTGCGTGTGCGCGTTCGCAGTTCGCCACCCTGGAGACCATCGTGACTTCCGTGGCCGACGAGTTCCCCAAGTACCTGCGCGCGCACAAGCCGCTGTTCACGATGTGCGCGTGCATCATCATGTTCATCCTGGGCTTCCCCATGCTCACCGAGGTACAAAGACAGAGATGCCCCCCCCCCCCCCACCTTGTAGCCTCAACAGACTGCGAGTAGCACCGATGAACGCCGGCGCGGCAAACAATGGGGTGGGTAGCCAGCACCACGCCCAGCCACATTTGTCTAACCAGCGGCAATGTATACACACCGCATCAGGTACTCATTTGAGGCACCTATACACATACATACACATAGTCATACAGAGGTTCCAATGATCCTTCTCATGATCCCCCACTGGTGCCGCCCTCTATACTAATACAGTTCCCATGATCCTTCACTTCTCATGAACCTCCACTGGTGCCGCCCTCTATACTAATACAGTTCCCATGATCCTTCACTTCTCATGACCCCCCACTGGTGCCGCCCGCTATACTAATACAGTTCCCATGATCCTTCACTTCTCATGGTCCTCCACTGGTGCTACCCTCTTGACAAAGAAATATCCCACGATGCTTGGTTGCTGATGTAATATCACCACCCCTGTGTGCCCCCCCCCCCCCCCCCCACGTGGCGCCCCCTCTCCGTGTGCCGCTGGCAGGGAGGTATCTACATGCTACAACTGGTGGACACCTACGCTGCCTCGTACTCCCTCATCATCATCGCCATCTTTGAGCTCGTCGGCATCTCCTACATCTACGGTGATGGCCGCGACGATGGTGGTGGCGGTGACGGTGGTGATGCTGGTGATGATGCTGCTGATAGTGATGATGATGATTTTACTGATGCTGATGACGATGATCGTCTCTGGTTCCCGTCAGGTCTCAACAGGTTCTGTGAAGACATTGAGATGATGATTGGCTTCCAGCCCAGCTACTTCTGGAGGATCTGCTGGGCCTTCCTCACACCCACCATCCTCACCGTGAGGCCCAGCACTAAACTTAACCCTAACACGAGCTCAAATACTAGGCCGAACACGAGCCCTAACCCTATCCTGAATACTAGGCCCTAACACTAACATGGATACTAGGCTGTAACACGGGCCCTAACACTAGCCTGAATACTAGACCCTAACACTAGCTCTAATACTAGGCCGAACACGAGCCCTAACACTATCCTGAATACTAGGCCCTAACACTAGCCTGAATACTAGGCCGAAGAGGAGCCCTAACGCTATCCTGAATACTAGGCCGAGCACAAGCCCGAACACGAACTTGAGAACTATGCACAGAAACAAACACTAAACCTAACCCTGCCATCCTCACCATGAGCTTCAGGACCTAATCTTCACACAGGCCATAGTGATAGCCTGCATACTAGCCCTAACACTAAACATAACCATAGCCCCTCACCATAAACACTCACCCTAACTCCTCACCATAACCTCCCACGCTAAACCCTAACCCATCACCCTATGCCCTCACACTAACCCTACCGGAAGCCTAACACTGCCTTCTATTCTCAGTTTGAACCCGGCTCTGACATTTGAATTGGTCCTGGAGTTCGTTTGTTTAAGCTTACGTCTAAACTCTTTCGCGTTTGACTCTGTCTTCTGGTTGAGCCTCCCGGGTGCTGAGCCCCGGTTGATCGTTGTTTTTGTCGTCGTCATTGATTATTTAGAGTATTTGGCTGATATAAATTGCCACACGATGATACATCACTTCGTTGAGCTATCATTTGTGATGGCCAGATGGCTTCTGAAAAATAAGCTACTAGCTCAGTGGGGTTTTACCTTGTAACATGAAACATTTCTAGTTTAATTTGTATTTTGGTGTGATTTGCTTACCTTTCCTATACTTTACACTGCTGTCGTGTTGTTTTCGTATCGTTTGTAGTCGTAACATTCGGACGACCCCGTGCCCCTCTACTGGACATCTTTTAAACAAGAGCTTCGTAGCTCATCGGATTTATCCAGTCTAAATAAAGATTCTGATTCTGTTTTTGTTGCTTCACGTCTCTTCCTACCTCCTCCTCCTACCTCCTTCGTACCTCCTTCTCCTCCCGTCGCAGTTCATCTTGGGCTTCAGCTTCTACCAGTGGACGCCCATGACGTACGAGGCCTACCACTACCCGCCCTGGTCCATGGCCATGGGCTGGCTCATGGTGGGCAGCTCAGTCATCTGGATCCCCATCATGTTCGTCGTCAAGATGTACCTCGCTCCGGGAAACTTCATCGAGGTGAGAAACACTGGCGGGTGGCGGGGGGGGGGGGGGCGGGATAGGTGGGAAATGCGATGGGGATGATGACAACGGCAGATTCCGGATGTGGCCTGGTGACCCAGTGGGTTCGGAGGGCTTGAGCCGGCACCACTTGAGATGCTGGGTTCGAATCCGTGTTGCCCCCACCGCCCCCCCCCACCCACCCATTCATTAACGCATAGTCGGCGAAGGACCCTTGCGCCAAACGTGTGACCTCTTGCGGCAGCGTTGGCATTGGCTGCTCTTGGCCGCCGTACACACCGGCGTGTCTCGAGCAATTCGATACATGGATCACGGGACGACGACGACGACCACGGGGAGGGTGGCTTTCCAATCCTCCTGTTTGTGACTTCACTCGTCACCTCGGGAGTTCATAATGGCCGTGTCGGAGCCACAGAGCCAACACTGTTAAGAAACCTGGGTTCAATCCCTGGGTGTGGGTGTCTCTCCCCCCTCTCACTCCCTCTCTCTCTCAGGAGGTTCATAATGGCCGTGTCAGAGCCACAGAGAAACAAGAAACCTGGGTTGCAATGTCGATTGCGGCTGTTAGCTACACGCGGTTAACTACACGCATGTGACCCAAGTTCGATTCCCGCTCGCGACCAACACCAGTGACGATTATCTGAACCGGTCATGGGCCTCCCCTAGCTCGACTCAGCCTCAAGTGAGTACCCAGTGCGGTGTGTAGTAAACATCGCCACTGGGGAGAGAAAGGCGGCCGGGCGTGGTGTTGGCCACCCAGGCACTGCTACTCGCTAACGGCACTTGACCCAACAGTCTGTTAAGGCTATACGGGGGATCTTTGTCTTTCGTGGGGGTGGAGGGGGGGGTGAGGCCTCGCGTTGTTTGTGCCGAGTCGGGGTTGCCTCTTGGCCCGGTCACCGATGGCTGCACAAAAACACAATTACACCCCCTCCCCCGACTTCCCCAGCCCCAGGGCCTGAACCCAGCACCTCAGCTGTGCTGGATCAGTGGCGCTGACACGGCCATTATGACCCCCCCACCCACACCACCACCATCACCTAGGATAGTACTATCTTAACCTTGGTGGGGGGTGGTGGGTAGATGCTATTACCCCCTCCCCCCCCCCTTGTCGAATTCTCCCGTTCTCAGAGAGAAACGTGCGGATTTAACGGACGTCGGTGTTTTCAACCCGAAATTGTAAAAAAATTTGCGAGGTCATTCCCAACTCAGCTCGTGCAGTCGCCGCAAGCGGGTGACACCGACGACGACAAAAAAAAACACTCAACGGACGACACGAGGTCATTTCGGTAAAGTCACGTAGGTAAAAAATTTAAATAAATAAAAATAAAATAAATTAAAAAATTCACGACGTTTCGGAAGCAACACAAGCCTCCGTCTTCAGGCGATACAGCTGTCGTGGCTGTGATGGTTCCACCTGAAGACGGAGGCTTGTGTTGCTTCCGAAACGTCGTGAATTTTTTAATTTGTTTTATTTTACTTTTATTAATTAAATTTTTTTTACCTACGTGACTTTACCGAAAGAACCAAGAAGATGAATCCCTGCAGCCATGAAAGCTTTAAATCGATATTTATTTTATTTCTATTAGTATTTTTATTAATATTATTTTTTACCTACGCGACTTTACCGAAAAAACCTAAGAGTATGAATCCTTGCAGTCACGAAAGCTTCAAATCTAGAACGAGGTCATTTGTCCGCCGCTTACTCTTGGAAAGCCAACATTGTTCACGATCGATGCGTTCGAAAATGTCGTTTAAGTGACGGTCCCACCTGATGACGGAGACTTGTGTTGCCTCTGAAACGTCGTGATCTTTATTTTATTTAATTTTTATAAATTTTGATGCTTTACCTACGTGACTTTACCTAAAAAACCTAGGAATATGTCGTTTAAGTCCTTCTTGGTTGACCGTACGGATTTACTTCATTTTATTATAGTTCATCTCCTTGGTTCTTTCGGTAAAGTCACGTAGAAGGGAAATATTAAAATAATAAAAATAAAACATAATAAAATAATTATCACGACGTTGTGGCCGAAACGTCGTGAGAATCATATGATGTTTTATTTTTATTATTTTATTATTTCCCTTCTACGTGACTTTACCGAAAGAACCAAGAAGATGAATCCCTGCAGTCACGAAAGCTTTAAATCGAAATTTATTATAGTTATTTTATGTCGGGCAGGCTCATTGCGCGATTATATTCACCAATGAGTCTCGCGTACGAGATAAGTTCACGAGGTTATACATCACCTGACGTGTACCCCCTGGGACATTGCCACGTGACCCCCAGGGGTTCACATACCGCCGGTTGAGAACCACTGGTGTAGTGTATAGTGTAGTGTATAGTGTAGTGTATAGTGTAGTGTATAGTAATGTAGTGTACAGTAGTGTAGTGTGTCGTGTAGTGCAGTGTGTATTGTAGTGTATGGTATATAGTAGTGTATAGTGTTGTGTATAGTAGTGTATAGTAGTGTATAGTGTAGTGTATGGTGTAGTGTATGGTATAGTGTTTCGTAGTGTATGGTGTAGTGTATAGTAGTGTATAGTGTAGTGTATGGTGTAGTGTATAGTAGTGTATTGTGTAGTGTATAGTAGTGTATAGTAGTGTAATATAGAGTAGTGTATAGTAGTGTAGTGTATAGTGTAGTGTATAATGTAGTGTATAATGTAGTGTATGGTGTAGTGTATAATGTAGTGTATGGTGTAGTGTATAATGTAGTGTATAATGTAGTGTATAGTATAATGTAGTGTATAATGTAGTGTATAGTGTAGTGTATAGTGTAGTATATGGTGTAGTGTATAATGTAGTGTATGGTGTAGTGTATAATGTAGTGTATAGTGGTGTAGTGTATAGTGTAGTGTATAATATAGTGTATAGTGTAGTGTATAATGTAGTGTATAGTGGTGTAGTGTATAGTAGTGCCCCCCTGTGTTGCCATAACAGACTGTTGGGGCAAGTGTTGTTAACGAGTAGCACTTATGAAGGCTACCGGCACTGTGGCACACGAGGAGGTGGGTGGCCAGCACCCCGCCCGGCCGCCTTTGTCTCCCCCGTGACGAGGTTTACACGCCGCACCAGTTACTCATTCGAGGCTGAGTCGACCTAGGGGAGGATGCCCAGGACCGGTTCTGATAATCGCCACTGCTGTTGGCCGGGGTTCGTAGCGCAGCGCGCTAATTTCTACACTGTGCTCCCCACACATACACACATATATACACACACGCACATACAAACCGAGGACTTGATGATATTATCTCGGCGGTGCTTGCTTGTATGTTGAACTTCTTTCGCACCGTACCTAGTCAACCGTGGCCAATCAGAGGTGCACGGGGGAAGGACAACAAACTAAACACAAAAAGCATCTCCAAAGAAATTCGTTTTCAATCCAGATTTTTTAAAGTGGACGGCTCCAGTGGCTTCCTAATATGAGACCCATAGAGACCCACAGAGATCTCTGACGACACGGCCATCATGAATCCACCCCCCTCCCCCTGAGAGAGGAGGACTGAGAGAGACACCCGTTCAGTAAAATCGGTGAATCAGAATCTTATATTTAGACAGCAGGAAGGAATCCGATGAGCTTATGAAGCTCTCACGGACATCCAGTAAGGGGCCGGTTCGGAGCGTTACAACGAGCGAGCGAGCGCGCTTCATAACGACGATCGTCCGGTGGGGTTGGAGGCGGCTGTCGAGATTACGGGTATTAAAATGTTTTTAAAAATCCACAAAAAAATCCCATCATCGTTTGGTCGGAGGCCACCATCATAGTTCGAATCTCGGCCGGAGAGCGAAGGCGCCACCGTTTTCTGCCAACGTACGCACGCGCTCGCTCGGTCAGCGTACGGCGCGAAAGAAGTTCAACGTACGTAGGTACATAATCAACGTTTTTGGGTTTAGATCGCGTTATTTATAAATGTGTCGTAACCCTCCACCACCCGACACGGCCAATCAGTAAAAAAGTGTCACGTTGACAAAAGACAAAATAGTTCACTGCTTTAGCCCCACACCGGTGTGTTGAAGCGTGAAACCACAACATTTACAATTTGAGTTGTACGACGTTTCGCTGGCAATTGCATCCAGCATCATCGGGCAATTCGCCAGAACGTAGGTACGCACACACACACACGCGCGCGATGTCTTCGCTCGGCGGAGAGATAGCGGATCGAGAGGAGACAGCGAAGAGGGAGAGAGAGCGAGCGAGCGGTAGCCGTGATGAATGCCCCCGACAAGTCCGGCGTGTCCCCGTGTGTCGGGCGCGATGAATTTAATGAACCCCGCGATGGACGAGAATGCGAGAGACAAGGGGGGGAGGTGGGGGGTGGGTGGGAACGCGTGAGGCTTTCGGAATTGATGTGGAGGGTGCCGGAAAAGTCGTGATGGCGCCGATTGATTTTACGTGTTACAGGAATTGATCACCGGCAGTTCTCGCTCTCTCTCTCTCTGTAGCTCTCTCTTTCTCTCTATTTAACTCTCCTTGCCGCTCTCTCTCTCTGCCCCTCCTCCCTCCCTCTATTCTCATCTCCTCCTTCATCTCCCTACTCCCCCACCTTCCTCCCCCCCTCTCTCCATGCCTCTATTCCCTCCCTCTCCCCACTTCCCCTGCCTCTCCTCCTCCACCACTACCTCCTCCTCCATTCCCTCCACCACCTTCTCTTCTTCCATCTCCACCACTACCTCCACCACGTCCTCCATCTCCTGCTCCACCACCTCCATCACGTCCTCCTCCACCACCTTCCATCATGTCCTCAATCTCCTCCATCACCTCCATCATGTCCTTCTCCACCACCACCCCCTTCCTCATCCCACCTCCCTCCACCTCCACCACACCCCCCTGCTCCTCCACCACCTCCATCACGTCCTCCTCCACCACCTCCATCACGTCCTCCATCTCCTCCTCCACCACCTCCATCACGTCCTCCTCCACAACCTCCCCTTCCTCCATCTCCTCCACCACCACCACCCCTGTCCTCTTCCCTCCACCTCCGCCACCTCCTCCTCCACCTCCTGCTCCTCCTCCACCACCTCCATCCCGTCCTCCATCTCCTCCTCCACCACCTCCATCACGTCCTCCTCCTCCACCTCCCCTTCCTCCATCTCCTCCACCACCACCACCCCCGTCCTCTTCCCTCCACCTCCACCTCCTCCACCTCCGCCACCTCCTCCTCCACCTCCTGCTCCTCCACCACCTCAATCACGTCCTCCTCCACCTCCCCTTCCTCCATCTCCTCCACCACCACCACCCCCGTCTCTTCCCTCCACCTCCGCCACCTCCACCTCCTGCTCCTCCTCCACCTCGCGTGCCCAGCGGCTCAAGCTGGTGTGCATGCCCCAGCCGGACTGGGGGCCCTTCCTGGTGCAGCACCGTGGCGAGCGCTACCGCCACCAGATGGACCCTCTGGGCACCTCCTCGCTGGGCCTCAAGCTGCCCCGCAAGGACGTGGAGATGAGCGCCGACGTCATGGGCGTCGCCTAGCAACCCCCCCCCCTTCTTTGTTGCTGCTGCTCCTGTTGCAGTCACCCCCACCCCTCCCTCCCCTTTGTCACCCCCCTTCAACCTGAGGTCCGTTGGAACCCCCCCCCTTCAGAGTCTTTCATGGAAGCCCTCGAGATTCTATCTCCATGATGTCCTCCTTTAGATCTCTCCATGATGTCATCGATGGGATCATCTTTTCCTGTCCATGAAGACTTGTATGACATCACATCTTCTCCATGATATACTCCATGCATCTCTCTATGATGTCTTTTATGACGTCATATTTTCCTGTCCATGATTACCTGTATGACATCTCCTCTCCATGATGTCCTCCATGCATCTCTCTATGATGTCATCGATGTGATCATCTTTTCCTGTCCATGAAGACTTGTATGACATCACATCTCCTCCATGATATCCTCCATGCATCTCTCTATGATGTCCTCCATGACGTCATTGTTTCCTGTCTACATCTTCTCCATGTCCTCCTTTAGATCTCTCCATGATGTCGTCGATGGGATCATCTTTTCCTGTCCATGAAGACTTGTATGACATCACATCTCCTCCATGATATACTCCATGCATCCCTCTATGATGTCTTTCATGACGTCATCTTTTCCTGTCCATGATGACCCATATGGCATCACATCTTCTCTGTCCTTTAAATCTCTCCATGATGTCTTTTATATGATTATCTTTTCCTGTCCATGAAGACTTGTATGACATCTTCTTCGTGATGTCCTCCATGCAACTCTCCATGATCTCCTCCATGAAATCATCTTCTTCTATCCATGATGACCCTCATGACATCACATCTTCTCCGTCATGTCCTCCATTCACCTCTCCACTGTGCCCTCCATGAGTTATTGTCCCTGATCCACGATGTTTCTTCATGAGTCCTCCTCATTGGAATTCTCCACGATTTCCTTCCTAGAAATGTATCCATGAGACCTCTTCTCCTCCCCATGATGTCCTCCATGAGACTGTTATTTCCATGATATCCTCCATGAGATCCTACCTCCGTGATGTCCTCAATGAGATCTTATCTCCATGATATCCTCCATGATATATTATTTTTAAGATAAGATGTCCTCCATGAGATTTTATCTCCATGATATCCTCCATGATATATTATCTCCATGATATCCTCCATGAGATCTTATCTCCATGATGTCCTCTATGAGATTTTATCTCCATGATATCCTCTATGAGATATTATCTCCATGATGTCCTCTATGAGATTTTATCTCCATGATATCCTCCATGAGATATTATCTCCATGATGTCCTCTATGATATTTTATCTCCATGATATCTTCCATGAGATATTATCTCCATGATGTCCTCTATGAGATCTTATCTCCATGATGTCCTCCATGAGATATTATCTCCATGATGTCCTCTATGATATTTTATCTCCATGATATCTTCCATAAGATATTATCTCCATGATGTCCTCTATGAGATCTTATCTCCATGATGTCCTCCATGAGATCTTATCTCCATGATATTCTCCATGATATATTATCTCCATGATGTCCTCCATAAGATTGTATCTCCATGATATTCTCCATGATATATTATCTCCATGATGTCCTCCATAAGATTGTATCTCCATGATATTCTCCATGATATATTATCTCCATGATATCCTCCATGAGATATTATCTCCATGATATCCTCCATGATATATTATCTCCATGATGTCCTCTATGAGATCTTATCGCCACGATCTCTTCCATGAGATCTTATCTCCATGATGTCCTCCGCGAGACCTCTATGTGTCCTCCACGAGACCCCCTCAACCCTTCTCCTCGACACCTCATTACCCCATGTGAAACTGAACTATTTCCTCAAAATGGAAGCTGATCGTGATGAGAGGCAGAAGATGAGAAAACATATCCAACACTGATCACGGAAAAATGTTGCGTCTTCCACTACACGGACAATTAAGAGAGACAGACAGACAATAAGATACACAGATATACATACAGACAGAGAGACTGCAAGATACAGACACAGGCAGACAGAGATAGAGACAGATACAGATACATGGTCAGAAATACAGATATAGACAGACTGACGGAGAGACATACACACAAACAGACATGGAGACAGACATTCAGAGACAGACAGAATGAGATATTCACACTGGAGGAATCCTATTATATATCAGGCTCTTTCTCACAGATGTCCAGTAGAGACACAGACACACCGAGGCAGATATACAGCAAGACAAGACATGCACAGACAGACAGAGACACAGACAATACAGACTTGCCAAAAAATGCGGACAGACGATGATGGGACAGTGCGAGAGACAGGCGGACAGACACGCGGCTCGATGTATCGATAGACACGTATGTAGATTGTCGCGGTGTCTGTGTGTGTGTGTATGTGTGTAGTTCGTGTCAGCTACGCTGTAGGGTGTAGACCATAGCAGCAGCAGAAGTAATAACAACGTGATGTATTCTCGATGTATACTCTGTCTAGATGTACACTCAATGGATATGCTAGATATATTTTATACACACGCGCACAACACATGAGTCATACGCCTTGGGACCACGGGACATTTCGCTGGCACGGGTCTAAATTTGCCAAAAAAATAAGAATCTAAATGTTGTAATGTTTCATAACTCCGGGAAATGTACTCGATTCGGATTACACAAGGCAGCGATCCTCGCCCCCCCCCCCCCCTACTGGCAGGCGAATGCCCCCCGCTGGCAGGTCGGGTTATTATCAATCAACTTGTGTCACCGCACAGGGGCAGCTGCCACTGGGTGGAAGGGTCCCCTAGGCCAGATCACACGGCAGTGATCATCACCCGAACCCCCTACTGGTAGGCGAATGCCCCCCGCTGGCAGGTCGGGTTATAATCAATCAACTTGTGTCACCGCACAGGGGCAGCTGCCACTGGGGGGGGGGTCCCCTAGGCCAGACAGCACAGCAGCAGTCATTGCCCCCCCCCCTTCCCATGATCGGAAGGTCGAGCGGTGGTGATGGTGGGTGGTTGGGTGATGGTGGGTGGGGTAAAGTGTGGGTAGTCGCGCCTCTTCTTCCGAGACGTAGCCAGCGTGGAAGAGTGAGGTCCCTAAGCAAGTGACGGACGAATCTCCGTCGAGGCGACCAATCGCGAAGGAAGGCCCATTCCTGCCAGCCAGCCAGCCGGCGGCGTGATTCTGGCAATTGCAGGGTCCGCGCCTTTGCCTCCCCCCTTCCCGCCCCCCCTCTCTCTCGTTCATCTCTGTTTGGTGTATCGCGCCTCCATTCGGAGTGGTCCCCGGACCGATGATGAAGTTGCTTAGGTGTGGCCGTGCAACGTTCGGGCCAATTACCTTGTAACCCTACTACGCCTCGCGTACGCACGCGCCGATTGCCACCGGTGGACATTCCACGTTACCATGGCGGGGACCTTGACGACCACTGCCCGTTGACTTCCCAGCGTGGTCCGCTGCTGCTTCTCATGCTCCTCGTGTTGTACGGCCGCTGACGATGTCCTTAGAGGCAGAGCACATGGCGGCCAATGTGACACGCGGGTTGCGCTGACAACGAAACGACGGCCATTGATGACGGCGACGGTGACTGTGACGTTGGCGGATGTGACGTTGATCGTGACGATGGTGACGTTTGACGTCGATGTTGATGATGAAGATGATGACGACGATAATGGCGATGATCGAGGTGATCATAACGATGATGGTGATCATGATGATTATGACGTTTGATGCCAATGTCGATGATGACGGTAATGGCGATGATCATGCTGCTGCTGCTGATGATGATGATGATGACGGACGATCAAAATGGCGATGCACGTGCTGCTGATGATTATGATGGCGATGATACTGGTGGTAAAGTGCTGATGACGACGATCTCGACGACGCAAACGATAACGATGCTTACCATGGGATGCATTTACCCCCTGAGCGGAATACGAACGCGCTATTCGCCCAACACAGTTGAAGCACGTTCATCATAACCACGAGGGACATGGCTGTGGGTCCCTGCTATGGAAATGTGGAACGTCCACCAACTGGCTCAAGGGCGGTGGTTGGCTACTTAGGATCTCACGTTCGCTTGGGACGATACACATCAACTCTCTCATTGCATCTCTTCGGTCGGACTTTCCACCGACATTCTGAATTATGGGTCAACAATAACACTGGTCAACACACTTTTCCTGGCATAAGGTATTCCAACGGGTTTAAGGTAATTTTGGGGGGTGCTGATTCCAAATCTGGCATCAGTTTTTGTCTATCACATCAGGGTTTTGAGAGATCAAATTTGCATTTTCAATGAAAACTGCAGAAGAAAAATATTAAATAAATGTGGATATCTACACACACTATTCTAAAAAAATACAGCACCATATTTTAACACTAAAGCAGTCACTGACTCGCAACAACTTGCAATCATAAGTGACAGAGTTAATGGAAATAGGGTATGCCGTTAGGATAAAATGAGATGTGAAAGAGCAAATCTGAGATCAGATTTGTAATCAGCACCCTGAAATTAGTCTAAAACAGAAGCAAAAGTCCAGGCCAGAAAAAAAAAGTTTTTGTTGTTGTTGACCAGTGTAATGGCCCTTATATAACAATGGTTGTGATATAATCGAGTGACGAGACGACTGTGAAAGGTGATCACGCTGCTGCGTAGTTCTCCCGCGTGTGTTCGCGGTGTGCCACGGTTGCTTAGCGCGTTGTCCGACGTTTCGTTACCACGTGCTCCACACATCCACCCTACCTGCCTACGCACCCAACGCCGACCCATCATCCACCCACTCGATCATCCCACTCACCTGCCAACTCGCACACCCGATCAACTGCTCACCCACCCGCTCACTCATCCACTCACTCACTCGATCACCCACTCACTTACCAACCCACTCAATTGCTCACCTGCTCATCCATTCACCCACTCACCCACCCACCCATTCACCCACCCCCCCCACCCACTCACCCCCCACCCACTCACTCACCCACCCACCCACTCACT